CACATACTACTGTACACTAACCTGCTTAAAACCTCTATCAATTGCTTCCTTCTAAGATGTCATCAGTACACAGGGAACTCTCGAAGTGTCAAAGATACAATTCACAATTCCTTTTAACACTGCTGGCTCCCAGCTAGAAGAGGTATCCTGTCAGCGCCGTGATGCCCTTAATTCATTGCACGGCTGACTTTGCTCAGTCTGTGTGTTAGGCTGTGACTGAAGTGCTCACTTGATTTTCTGCCACTATGACTACATCAAAAAGAGCTTCGTATGAAGGATCGGCCAAAAGCGCAAAAATATTCTGCTGAAAGATGCGCAGACGACCATATTGATTTGTTTGCTTTCGCTGCCTTTCTGCAGACCCACCAACCTCCGGCACGCAAGGCATGCCGTGAACCCCGACTTTTGCTGCGAGAGCCATTATAGTCTGCGCCTCCCTTAATTACCACCCTGGATTTGGCAGTCGTTAGTTGTTATCTGTGGAGTCTTAATGACTGTTGCCGGTTCCTGGCGATGGTAGGATGCCTAAAAAGGCAAGACCTATGAACTGGCAACCCTATTTGCTATCGAGCGGAACGCGTTGAATCACTCATCTGCGCCTTGTTGACCTCAGGACACTCCATCATACTCCAACGTACGTTCATAACAGTTAGTGATATTCAGTACTTTTGATTGCCTTCAGAACGTAAAACCGAACATGGAACATGGGTACGCTATTGGATCAAAACAAATATAACACAATATGCGTGTGTAATTCAGTTTCAGCCGCAGCCGCTGGATCTGCCGCAGTAATTTGTATTGAGGAAACCACTTCGATAGATTCTAGGGTCAATTTAGACTGAACGAAGCATGCGAAATTGTGAATATTTCCCTGTTCTGTCAGGCACATGAAGGAAAAGGAAGGGCCCGTCTGCTGGGTCGAAAAATTATTAATGCTCTCTCAGGGTTGAGATGCGTACCAGCAGTTTCGGTGGGGCTTGATTCTGTCGAGTCTGCGGCCACCTAGCTCAACAAGCGAGGTGCTTTGCTGCATAACTGCATAACCTATAAAATCGTGGTAGCTGCTCTACTGGCAAACATATGCATTTTGTGCTTGATTCAGCAGCTGTAGATTGCTCAGACAGGGGCATTTTAGGATTAATTGCCCACTCAGCCCCAAGTGCAGGTTCGGGGAAGGTATTTGGATGGTTCAAAAGGCACTGCTCATGAAACTGATGAAAACATAGATTAATAGTGAATAAATAGCTGTGAAGGCTGGAATTGGGAAGTGGTGGCTTCTGTGTAAGTAGACTTGTCTGTCGAACAGATAGTTGTGACATTGTTAGGGTCAATGCTGCTGCCCTGATAGTCTGCCGTGCGGTCGAACCACCATTGAAATGTACTAAAGCAAAATGCTAGTTTTATTGAATGCAAATAAAGCCATACGGATGACATCAATTTTATGCTCGTGAAGGTGCGACAGTACCGAATTCTGAAACTTTGAAGGGCGCCTATAATGAAGAGGTAGTCCAATTGGCTATTAAGAAGGCTGTGCCACCAAGACAACTATGCTACAAGTATCCATTTTGAAGTTCAAGTGATTGTTTCCATGGTACGGGCAAGCTGAGTTGCAAATTCTTGCAAATTCCTGTTAAATCATCTGACCGGTGAGACTGAATGCACGCAATTACTGTAAGACATCGCTTCTTCACTTATCAAACGGTCAGTCAACTGATCCACTCCACGCCGTTGTAGAAGGGAGAATGCAGTGAATAACATCAGCCGTTGCTGTTACGTGCGCCTCCATGATATGCAATAGAGAGGAAACACTAACTGCTCTTCTTTCCCCGAAACTTGATGTAATATCCACATGCCTGCATGCTTTCTGGGCATAGCTGTACATCTGAGTTGTGTATGTGAAAGGCATATTCTACGTGCATCAGCAAGACTTTGGGGTACACGTTGTAGTACTTACTTGCTGCGGCACTTGCACCCGGATATTTTGCCTTCCAAAACACCGCACGTCTTCCTCTCGGTCAGCTTTTAGTTCCCAGTATTCACCCAAGGCCTATACAGAGCTGGCACACATATCTTCAACCAATTGCTGCCTGATCCACAGCAATTGTGAAAGCAGCTACACCTGTGTTTTGTTTGAAACCTATGAGGTCGCAGAAAAGCTTATTCTGCTAATTGCCATCCTTTAACTGTGGAAGCGCCTAAATTAAGTCATTTAAAAGTTCCTCCGTAGAGTGAAGTTTCGAATTCAGAATATTCCATATGCAGTGCGTCGTATTACATATGTAAATGCAACTGACTCCAGATGCAGCCCTCTATAGAAACCTAGGCGAGCGAAGTTGCGTGAGGCTGTCCCGCGTGATGTTCATGCTCCGTGTGATTTCACTATTGCAACACACCGAATCCTTATGCATTTACAGCAGAAATGAACAGAAAAAGAGCATTTAGTTACCCTGATAATTCGTTTTCCTAGGATACACTGGTTGCCGTGGAACACTCTGCGAGCGTTTGCCATAGTAAGGCATCTCCCTGTAGAAGCTTCTGGCGGCGTCCCTAACCGCCAACATATCATGCTATACTTTGTACCTCCGCTGGCACGGCTTGGTCAACGACAGTTGCCAGACCCTAAAGGACATTTTACCTCACCCTCTTTAGAGGGTTAAGAACAGGTGAGCCATTTGCGTGATTTCGCTGCATCGAACCCGTTGATGACGGTGACAAGAAAATCGATACATAGCCGTCTTTGCCTGCGTTAGTCAATAAAGGCATTTCTGCTTGCAGCTGAATCCAAACACATCTCTTCTGGAATAATGAAAGTTTTTGCGGACTACCACTAGTTTTGTTGCAATAAAAAATGTCGAGCAATTGCCTTGTCCTAGGACGCACAGGACAGAGGTAGAGTGATAGGCACTGCTCACGGCTCGTTACTTGAGCAATGGTGAGTAGGCCCATGGCTGTAGTAAACTGCCGGGAATTGTAATTACTTAAGAGTTCGGCTGGCATCTGGTTCCGTGTTCTTTAAGGAGACTCCTTCTCTGCGGATAGCTGCACGTGCATCTACCGTGTAAGCAACAATACACTGGTACGGATACCCAATGCGCTTTACGCATGAAGCAGGCTCCTGTTACAGTAGTACTGATAGTTGAACTTTTAAAAACATGATACATTACGATGGAATGGCAAGGGACGCCGCAACGCCGGAGAAGCATATGGTGTACAACCAGAACACGTACGCCAAGAGTTTCTAATAAGCATTTGATATGAACTGCAGTCTTCTTCTGAGTTGGCACAGGCGCACAACATCCTGTGCAAATGTGTGAGAAAACGTGCTACAGCCTGTAACAGCTAATCTCCTGCGGGACTAGCTCGTGCACGAGTTAGACCTCATCCGCGGAATTTTCCAGTGTGCTAGTGTGATTAAAAAAGCATAAGCCCAGCCCTAACTACAGTATGCCGACGGAGCGTTGTCTGGTGGCACACGCGACCAAACAACTCTCGAGCCATCAGTCCGTAGGTAAAACGGGAGCAAAATTTGGGAGACAGTACCCCCATTGCATTCAGATTTCTCAAATCTGGTTAAACTCGAGTGACTATTCGTTAACGGAGTTTTTTCTCGGATACTATGGATACAACTCTGTTTGGAAATGGTAACGAGTCACAGGTGCCTAATGCTGGACGACCCTCGATGCATGGAGGAACAGGGATGGAACAAATCCCTTTCATCTGGGAAGAAGCAAAACGCATTACCTACCGGTTTCTTGGATTTGCATTCCCAGTTCTGGGATGGTAAGTATATTAGTGTGCTTGGGCACCTATTTCAGATGCGCCATTGATTGTCTGCCAGGATTGTAGAGTTGCTGATCGCTTTTGCATCCGCCACTCTTCCCGAACGGTACTTCAGACAGGGAGACAGAATAATCTAACTGCAATCAAGTGGATTACAAAGGAAATCTAGAAGCATGTAAAGTGATCCTGAGTGGTTGATCTAAACATCCCGGATCCTACCAGTGGGGCTCATTCTGCAGATGCCGCAGATGTCATGCGCTTCAGTGTAGGATAGACTTCACCCAGCAACGTACAGCTCATAAAACCAATTTGCAGTAAAGAACTTTGTTACTTTAGCGATCATTATGCATTGTAGTTGATGCATAAACGCTCTTCACCTATTGAGCCAAGAGGGTGACCTTCATCTCCACCCACAGCCACCGAGGTACACGATGCCAATCCTGCATTTTAACTGCCCCCGTTATTAGAGAGCACACAGCTCTTGCGAAGTGTCTCCATTCTTCCCCTTCTTGTGAACGAGGCAGCTGATCGATGTCTCCAGCACCTTTTGTTGCTTCGAGACTAACTGGGCTCTTTAGTGGACTGAAGAGGTTTCTACACCAATTCGGAGCATTTTTCTACATCATTGTTTGTTGCCGTAAATATGATTGAGTTGGCTAAATCTGCAGGAACTATGTAGGCCATGCTTTGTCTGTCTCGCTAGGCTGACGCACGAGTTTATCTCTGCTTGTCTGTTCTACAGACATTCAAATGTGCTGAATATCACGTTGAATGAATGTTGGAATATTTAACAATATGATGGAATACCCTGATTCCAGCAATGCATAGATGGGTTGTTCCACGCGTTTCGCTCGATAGAAAACAGCGCTGCCAGTTCAGATGCCTGGCACTTACATAGGCACTACGTCGCCAGGAACCGGCAACAGTCATTAAGGCTCCACAGATAACAACTAACGGCTGCCAAATCCAGGGTGGTAATTAAGGGAGGCGCAGACTATAATGGCTCTCGCAGCAAAAGTCGGGGTTCACGGCATACCTTGCGTGCCGGAGGTTGGTGGGTCTGCAGAAAGGCAGCGAAAGCAAACAAATCAATATGGTCGTCTGCGCATCTTTCAGCAGAATATTTTTGCGCTTTTGGCCGATCCTTCATACGAAGCTCTTTTTGATGTAGTCATAGTGGCAGAAAATCAAGTGAGCACTTCAGTCACAGCCTAACACACAGACTGAGCAAAGTCAGCCGTGCAATGAATTAAGGGCATCACGGCGTTGACAGGATACCTCTTCTAGCTGGGAGCCAGCAGTGTTAAAAGGAATTGTGAATTGTATCTTCGACACTTCGAGAGTTCCCTGTGTACTGATGACATCTTAGAAGGAAGCAATTGA